ATGAAGATACGAGTAGATAACATCTCTGACAGGGAAAGCCTCACTTTTCCATTACCTCTTCTCATTGGAGAAGTGGAGGGTTATCAACAAGATGGCTGCATTTTAGTAACTTCTTCAGGTGATCCAGATGGGGCTATTGATTGGCCAGTTGTTGATGGCTATTTTAAGGTGAGATATCATTGTACATCATCACTGGCTGCATCAGCAGCATCATTTTCAGCAGTAACAATATCAGCATTATCACTAACATCACGCATCTGCATCATCATCACTAGTCATCCTCGTCACTGGTCTTCGTCGTCACTGGTCACCATCATCACTGGTCATCATTGTCACTGGTTATCGTCATCACTAGTCATCGTCATCATCATCAGCTACAATGTTATTATGATCACCAACAAAGTCATCTGTGTCCTCATCATCAACAGCATCAGTACATCTGCAACATTATCGCCAGCTTCCTTAGCGGCTGCAGCCACAATAGCGGTTGCAGTAGTAGCAACATCACCATGATGATCAACATCACCAAATCAGTCCATCAGCAGCACCATCATCATCCTACTCATCTGTGTTAAAATGCGAGATCGAGTTTCTTCCTGGCAGACCGAGATGAGAGCGACGTTCTGCAAAGGACTTGCTACATGATGAGTTCACCAGCATCATCATTATTATCCCCCTCCTCCCAACCTTCTCCCCCACATTGAAAGGTATATAAAACCGAACGAAAAGTATCTAAGCAAGCTTCACAATATAACAAATACAAACAAAACGTGAACGTTGCAGCTATTGAGCCTTTATCAGCACATACAAATAAAACAATACTACACAGAAACACAAAATCATGTAGCTGGTATCTTGAAGCAGCCGGGTCGGTTGTTTCTCAGCAGAATGAAGTACAGCTCAGCTGAGTCTCTCATTTCTGGCTTGTATCTTTACAGAACAATCAGAAAGACCTTCCCTATCTAGTCAACCTAGTGGTGATGTCCGTCAGGGTGCAAGTTGGCACTTCCTGTCCACTGTTTCCTCCTGTCAGTCTTTCAGTAAATAACTTTGTCTCTTTATGTCTGAGCAAAAGTCTTAGCTGCATTATGGGTCCCCGGGCAGACCAGTGTGTTGAGGCCCCTATGACAACTGTTGACAGGAATGACATTTTTATTAATGGCAAGTCACTCAGCAGAATCAGATTAGCATGGGGCCCCCTATGCTTGTGAGCCCCCCCAGGCAAGAACCTAGAGGGCCCATTGCTTTCAGATGGCTCTGTGTCTGAACAGTTTCAATCTCTGACTCTGATCTAATTTAGCAATGCTGTATGCAGTCTCAGTTTGTATTCAACATGTTCTTTTACCATGAGATTCTCCTATAGTGAAAACACAATTTGATTTGAACAAGATGTAGAACTAGTAAGCTTTCCAGTAAAACACAATCACAAGTGATGAAATGGACTTTATAGCTAGAAAGCCTACATCAGCTTACAGAAAATTCAGCCAGTGATACAGCTACATAAAAGAACCAAGCTTTATAAAGAATGAACTTCATTTCTGGTTGAAATACCCATCCATCAGGTGCAAGTGGTAGACAGTGATAGATGTGGGTGTATAACAATAGGAGATGGATGGAAAATGGTATCATAGTATCCAAACCAACAGAATGTTGGGTCTATTGCAGCCCTCGTCTGTGTGGAGGCAAGGTTCTCCAGGGTAAAGTTGTCAAACCATTTGCCTCATGCTCCTTTAGTGTTCATTTCAGGAGTGCAGTTTTTGTGTGATTGAGTTTTGTTTGACACTCTCTGCTAAGAGAGACTGAGCCATATGGGATAAAGTCTAGTTCAGCTAAGTCGATCCTCACACTTTTAACCTTCTCACCTTTCTTTGTAGAGTTGGCACCTGGAGTCCATAGTTATGGGTTAAGCCTATGATAAACATAGCTAATAAAGAAACCTCTTTTTAGGGGTGCCTAGTTGGTCATGTGTTTTAGTACATTGGTTCCTGCAGCAAGGCGCAGTCGTAACTGGGAAGACAGGTTCAGTTTCCAGCATGGCAGCTAAAACTAGATTTGTATATTGTCCATTATGTCCTTCTGTCTACTTCTCTATGTAAGTGCCAAACAATACATGCCTTTATGTTTAATGTATTTAATATTTCTACCGCCTCAAGAATTTCTCAGTCTGTTTTATCTCTGTGTAGCATGTGTAGCACAGTGGAACTGACCAACCATATCTCTCCTATAAATCTATGTAGAATAGTGCTGTTTCAGTGGTTTGAGATGAACTGTTCCATAGTTGTGGGTTCAAGCTGTACAATAGACATGGCAAATGAAGAATTAGGCGGCAGTGTCAGCAAACTGCCAGTTAGTAGAATATTGTGACATTTCTGTTGGGAGCACTGAGCCTGTCCCCCACCCACTACAATATTGCAGCCACTAGATCTCACCCGAGTCAGTTCAAGAAATAAATGTAAAACAGAATTGTGTTAAGGAATTATTAATTCTATCACTTTTGTCTGAACACTGCTATGTTTTATAATGTCTTGAGTACTTATTTGATACTGTCATTGTGTGATTTTGAATAGGTACTGGTGCGACTACAACCAGGGGAAAACATAATTAACTTGCAATGCAATCAGGACTCATTAACTATGCGGCTGACCTATAACCTGCCAGGCTTCACACACATTGTCAGACCAGTATATTTAGTCTGTGCAGATGATGATGGATACTTCCAGGTCAGTCATAAATATGTCTTTTGCTAAGATAACTTTGTGGCAGTTACTGCCTATGTTGTGAGATGTTATTGCTTGCATTGAGATGATTCCCATAAGGCTTGGTCTGTCTGCACAGAGTATCTGTTCACTTGCCGAGAGTGTTACATATAAGTGGAAAACTGAGGTGGAATAGAGGTGGAAATTAGCTGATAGAGGTGGCAATTAGCTGACGTAGACTGCAGTTAGCTGATGCTTTGAAATTAGCTAACAGATGGAAATTAGCTGAGACATTGAAATTAGCTGACACATTGAAATTAGCTGACACATTGAAATTAGCTAACAGATGGAAATTAGCTGATAGAAGTGGCAATTAGCTTTGTAGATTGCAGTTAGCTGACGCTTTCAAACTAGCCAACAGATGGAAATTAGCTGACACATTGAAATTAGCTGACACATTAAAATTAGCTGACACATTAAAATTAGCTGACACATTGAAATTAGCTGACACATTGAAATTAGCTGACACATTAAAATTAGCTGACACATTGAAATTAGCTGACACATTAAAATTAGCTGACACATTAAAATTAGCTGACACATTAAAATTAGCTGACACATTAAAATTAGCTGACACATTGAAATTAGCTGACACATTAAAATTAGCTGACACATTAAAATTAGCTGACACATTAAAATTAGCTGACACATTGAAATTAGCTGACACATTAAAATTAGCTGACACATTAAAATTAGCTGACACATTAAAATTAGCTGACACATTAAAATTAGCTGACACATTGAAATTAGCTGACACATTAAAATTAGCTGACACATTAAAATTAGCTGACACATTAAAATTAGCTGACACTGTTGGCAATTATCTTAGAGACAGAAATTAGCTGACACAGTTAACAATTATCTGAGAGACAGAAATTAGCTGACTTAGTTAACAATTATCTGAGAGACAGAAAGTAGCTGACACAGTTAAAAATTATCTGAGAAATAGAAGTTAGCTGACACAGTTAGATATTAGCTGGTGGATGGAAATTAGCCGAGGGATAGAAATTAGCTGATATAGATGTAAATTATCAATAAAACAGAAACATTGGTTATAACAAAGAAGAAACAGAATGTGAAATTAGAATAGAAGGCAGAGTATTCAAGCAGGTGGACATGTTCAAATATTTGGGGACAATTATAACATCTGATGGAAGATGTGGGACAGAGGTTGAAAGTAGGATATGCCAGACTAAGGTGGCATTTCAAAGATAAAACAATATTTTTTGCAACACGTCTCTCTCATTAAATATATATTTAAAAAAAAAAAGAGTAATGAAATGTGATGTTGAACCAGTGCTGCTGTATGCTTGTGAATCCTGCAATGTGTATGAACAAATTAAGAAGAGCAGGAAGCGGGCGGAGGTGTGGTTTCTGAGAGGTATACTGTGATACGACTACCTGGAAATGGCTAACAAGATTACAAAACTGTATACAGTGATAAAAAGGAGGTGGTCAGTGTTCTGTGGTCATGTGACAAGACGAGGGGCATTGGAGAAGATTATGGTGATTGGAAGGATCAGCTGCAGAAGAGGCAGACCAGAAACGACAATGTTTGATGACATCAAGTGGTGGCACGGTGGAATATTCTTCAGTGGAATTTATTCAGAATACTGGCACATCTGTGGAGAGACATAAGCACCTACTCTGCCTGGCAGGGCACATGATGATGATGAGATGTAAATTAGCTGTCACAAATTGACATTAGTAAGCAGAGGTGAAAATTAGCTGATATAATGGACATTTGTCATACATTGGAAATTAGCTGACTCATAGAAATTATCTGACACAACAAAATTAATTGAAAGAAGTGGTTGACACAGATACAATGGAAATTAACTGACACAGATGAAAATTAACTGACACAGATGAAAATTAGCTGACACAGATGAAAATTAGCTGACACAGATGAAAATTAGCTGACACGGATGAAAATTAGCTGACACAAATGAAAATTAGCGGACACAAATGGAAATTGTCTCTCAGAATAAAAATTAGCTGACCGACAGAAAACAGCAGACAGAGGTGACAGTTGTCAGACAGAGATGACAGTTGTCAGCTAGAAATGGCTGTTATTTGGTAAACCTGGAAGAACAGACTGTAGCTTATGATGATGGATTTCAAATGAATGAACCAATGAACAAACATTATTTTCAGAGGGTCACAAATTGGTCAGGCAGGCCTGCCTTACATTCAGCCCTTCATCTTTTCCACAGAACTTAGTTTATCTTTTATATTCTTCATAAAGCTTCTCTTATATTCTTCATAAAGCTTCTCTTATATTCTTCATAAAGCTTCCCTTATATTCTTCATAAAGCTTCTCTTATATTCTTCATAAAGCTTCTCTTATATTCTCCATAAAGCGTCTCTTATATTCTTCATAAAGCTTCTCTTATATTCTTCATAAAGCTTCTCTTATATTCTTCATAAAGCGTCTCTTATATTCTTCATAAAGCGTCTCTTATATTCTTCATAAAGCTTCCCTTATATTCTTCATAAAGCGTCTCTTATATTCTTCATAAAGCTTCCCTTATATTCTTCATAAAGCTTCTCTTATATTCTTCATAAAGCATCTCTTATGTTCTTCATAAAGCGTCTCTTATATTCTTCATAAAGCTTCTCTTATATTCTTCATAAAGCGTCTCTTATATTCTTCATAAAGCGTCTCTTATATTCTTCATAAAGCGTCTCTTATATTCTTCATAAAGCTTCACTTATATTCTCCATAAAGCGTCTCTTATATTCTCCATAAAGCTTCTCTTATATTCTTCATAAAGCTTCTCTTATATTCTCCATAAAGCTTCTCTTATATTCTCCATAAAGCGTCTCTTATATTCTCCATAAAGCTTCTCTTATATTCTTCATAAAGCTTTTCTTGTATTCTTTATAAAGCTTCTCTTATATTCTTCATAAAGCATCTCTTATATTCTCCATAAAGCTTCCCTTATTTTCTTCATAAAGCTTCCCTTATATTCTTTATAAAGCTTCTATTATATTCTCCATAAAGCGTCTCTTATATTCTCCATAAAGCATCTATTATATTCTTTATAAAGCTTCCCTTATATTCTTCATAAAGCATCTATTATATTCTCCATAAAGCGTCTCTTATATTCTCCATAAAGCATCTGTTATATTCTCCATAAAGCGTCTCTTATATTCTCCATAAAGCATCTCTTATATTCTTAAAAGAGCTTCTTTTATATTCTTCATAAAGCTTCTCTTATATTCATCATAAAGCTTTTCTTATTTTCTTCATAAAGCATCTATTATATTCGTCATAAAGCTTTTCTTATATTTTTCATAAAGCGTATTTTATATTCTTCATAAAACATCTCTTAAATTCTTCATAAAGCTACCCTTATATTCTTTAGCTTCTCTTATATTCTTTATAAAGCTTCTCTTATATTCTTCATAAAGCTTCTCTTATATTCTTCATAAAGCTTCCCTTATATTCATGAGCTTCCCTTATATTCTTCATAAAGCTTCTCTTATATTCTCCATAAGCTTCTCTTATATTCTTCATAAAGCTTCCCTTATATTCTTCATAAAGCTTCCCTTATATTCTTCATAAAGCTTCTCTTATATTCTTCATAAAGCATCTCTTATATTCTTCATAAAGCTTCTCTTATATTCTTCATAAAGCTTCTCTTATATTCTTCATAAAGCTTCTCTTATATTCATGCTTTTGTGTTCTTTTATAATATTCATAATATGCATAACATCATATGATCATAACATGCTTTATTAGTAAAATATAATTGCTGTGCGAAAGATGGTTGACTGGAAGGGCCGAATGTAAGACGGGCCTGCGTGCCAATTTGTGACCCTTTGAAAATAAAGTTCGTTCGTTCGTTTGTTCGTTCTTCATAAAGCTTCTCTTATATTCTTCATAAAGCTTCTCTTATATTCTTCATAAAGCTTCTCTTATATTCTTCATAAAGCTTCTCTTATATTCTTCATAAAGGGTTTCTTATATTCTTCATAAAGGGTTTCTTATATTCTTCATAAAGCTTCTCTTATATTCTTCATAAAGGGTTTCTTATATTCTTCATAAAGGGTTTCTTATATTCTTCATAAAGGGTTTCTTATATTCTTCATAAAGGGTTTCTTATATTCTTCATAAAGGGTTTCTTATATTCTTCATAAAGCTTCCCTTATATTCTTCATAAAGGGTTTCTTATATTCTTCATCATAAAGCTTCTCTTATATTCTTCATAAAGCTTCTCTTATATTCTTCATAAAGCTTCTCTTATATTCTTCATAAAGCTTCTCTTATATTCTTCATAAAGGGTTTCTTATATTCTTCATAAAGCTTCTCTTATATTCTTCATAAAGCTTCTCTTATATTCTTCATAAAGCTTCTCTTATATTCTTCATAAAGGGATTTCTTATATTCTTCATAAAGCTTCTCTTATATTCTTCATAAAGGGTTTCTTATATTCTTCATAAAGGGTTTCTTATATTCTTCATAAAGGGTTTCTTATATTCTTCATAAAGCTTCCCTTATATTCTTCATAAAGGGTCTCTTATATTCTTCATAAAGGGTTTCTTATATTCTTCATAAAGGGTTTCTTATATTCTTCATAAAGGGTTTCTTATATTCTTCATAAAGGGTTTCTTATATTCTTCATAAAGGGTTTCTTATATTCTTCATAAAGGGGTTTCTTATATTCTTCATAAAGGGTCTTCTTATATTCTTCATAAAGCTACCCTTATATTCTCATAAAGCTTCTCTTATATTTCTTCATAAAGGGTTTCTTATATTCTTCATAAAGCGTCTCTTATATTCTTCATAAAGGGTTTCTTATATTCTTCATAAAGGGTTTCTTATATTCTTCATAAAGGGTTTCTTATATTCTTCATAAAGCTTCCCTTATATTCTTCATAAAGGGTTTCTTATATTCTTCATAAAGCTTCCCTTATATTCTTCATAAAGCTTCTCTTATATTCTTCATAAAGCTTCT